ACGTGCAGTAAAGGATCTCTGTACACTCTCTAGATCTGCGATTTCACCTGCTTTGAATGGAGATGTTAATGTACAGCAGTATTTCCGCCTAGAGAGAACAAGTGATTTGAAAAGGATCATCATGGGCTTGGCATCTCTCGTTTTGAAAGTTCTCATTATCCATCCTATCATTTTCTTTGCACGTGCGATCGTGGCACTGTTGTGATCCTTGAAAGTGAGATCCTCAGACATTACTACTCCCAGGTCCCTTACATTATTTTTCCGCTCTATTGTATGGCCGGAGTCAGTAGTATACTCTGTTCTAGTTATTATCTCCTCCAGTTTTCCATAACGGAGTAGTTGGAATTTGTCCTCATTGAACATCATATTGTTTACCGTTGCCCACTGGAAAACTTTGTTTATATCTTCTTGGAGGTTAACCGCGTCCTCAGCAGATGACAGCCTCATGCAGATCCTAGTATCATCCGCAAAGGATGATACGGTGCTGTGGTGTATATCTCTGTCTATGTCTGATATGAGGATGAGGAATAAGATGGGGGCGAGTACTGTGCCTTGTGGAACAGAGCTCTTCACTGTGGCAGCCTCCGATTTAACTCTGTTGACCACTACTCTTTGTGTTCGATTTGTTAGGAAGTTGAAGATCCATCTCCCCACTTTCCCAGTTATTCCTTTAGCACGTATTTTATGGGCTATTACGCCATGATCGCATTTGTCAAATGCTTTTGCAAAGTCTGTGTATATTACATCTGCATTCTAATTTTCTTCCAGTGAATCCAAGGCCATGTCATAGTGATCCAGTAGTTGTGAGAGGCAGGAGCGACCTGCCCTGAACCCATGTTGCCCTGGATTGTGCAGATTTTGGGAATCCAGGTGATTTGCAATCCTGCTTCTTAGCACTCTTTCAAAGATTTTTATGATGTGGGACGTCAGAGCTATTGGTCTATAGTTCTTAGCTAATGCTTTGAGCTAGGCTCAGTTTTCTGCTCGAGACTTGATTTTTTTAAGAGATATTTACACCCCTTTGTCTTTTCCGGCTCAACAAAATGCAAGAAATATTATTCCTCTTATTCTTGAAAATACCAGCGTCATTGTCTCATACAAATATTCAAGAAAATGTGAGCAATATTTGAGGTAGAGCTGCGTGTGGCCCTTCTAGATCGGAAGGTCCCGGAGAGGTAAACAAACAACCAGAGAAGTGCTCTGCTCTTTGACAGCCTATTTACTCTCGATTTTTTCAAATATAGGAACCTCGTAGGGCATAAGAATCTTGACGCAGTAAAATTCTCCTGAAGACTAGCGCCATGCCTTCTCGTCGGCGCTCCTACTTCCTCATCTCATCCACCAGAAGGTATTGTCATGCACCAGAATGTCTCCTGAATAGGAAGTGTCTAGTGCCAGAGGCGGTCTTCCTCCCTCAGTAAGCCGGGTCACCTTCACGTGTAGATTGCGCTGGGGTAACTTTTTTTTTCCTGAGAGAGCCGGTAAGCCGGCCAAACGCCTCGGTTAAATGACCAAAAATCACTTAACGGGTTATTATGTAGCCAAGATTATCGCCAGGATGGCGATAAATAGTATAAAATACCGATACGATTATATAGATGTAGTAGCAGGGGCGCCATTAGTACACTAAGAGAAAACACAATAAGTGTCCGGGGCCCAAGAATGTTCAGCAACCTCTCACCCGGCATAAGGGGAATTACCAATAGACCCTGGCTGGTTTCAAGAGATACTTAAAGTTAGTACAGGATCAGCCGGGCTGTGGTGTACGTTGGACTAAGTGCGGCCAGCAGTAACAGCCTGGTTGGTCAGACCCTGATCCACCGGAAGGCCTGGTCATGGACCGGGCCACGGGGGCGTTGATCTCCGAAATACCCTCCAGGTAGGTAGGTATAATGCGATACCTGATGTTTTGCCCACACAGTTGGTTTTAAGTCACAAACTGTTTGTCATTTGATAAAGTCAGTCTTGCTTTCATTAGCGCCAGGATAACTTTTACCATTTCTCGTGATGAAGAAAACTCTTCGTGCAGCAAGTGTTTACCACACACAGTCGACGGATGGAGATCCATCAATATTGTTTCGTGTAAATGAAGATATTTTTCGACGTTGCTCACAATATCTTAATAACTCGATCCCAAACAAATCTCAGAACAAGTGAAGGCGTGAACCTGTGACAGTCGAGTCCTGAAACTCACAGGCCAGTGTGTTCACCACTGGAGCAGCTGGGCGAATCCTATTAGAGCCAGCTGGTCCAGTGGTTAGCGCACTGGCCTGTGAGTTTCAGAACTCACTTGCCATGGGTTCGAAATCCATCGGTTTTGTGATTTATATTTCGACTTTGATCATAATTTTAACACAATGTGATCGCGACAGACTTAAGTGCTTTTTATCCATGGATAAAATTTCCATTTATATCTCTTTTTCATCTTTCTCTACCTTATAACGTTGTATAATCCTACGGGTTTAGTGCTCTCCATGATTATAATAATATTATCTACCTTATAACGTTTTTCCACTTTTTTCAGTTTTCCAACTTTGAACTGACAGTACTTCCAGTATACAACTGTGAACAAAAAATTAAAGAATGTACCAGAAAATTATAAAAGATTTTTGTAATTTTCAAAAAACTACACAAACGGTTGCTAAGGTCGTTTATTTATATAATTCACATCGTGAGGAATATTGATACTGCTAACAGCGTAGTTTTGAGATAATGTAGTTCTCGCAAGACGTCAAGGCGTAGGAACTAGACTGAAGGAAGTGATTTGAGTTCAGAAAGTGATTTGAGTTCAGAAAGTGATTTGAGAAACTTGTCCAGTTTCCCATTGAAGACAGCCACAGGGCTGTTGGCCATTCCATTTATGCACGGAGGGAGAGCTTAGAAGAATCTGGAACCTGTGACACTCCACGAGTTCTCTCTCTTGGTGTACTTGTCGCTCCTCTGTCGTCTAGTAAAAGTCCCACGAGTCTAGAAACTTATCATTTATACAAGCATACCCCTACCGTAGCCTATGATGTTTTCCACTTCTGTGGGAGACTGGGTGTTCCTTTCTTCCTACCAGTCTCCTTTGTACCTAGGCATGTCAGGGCAAGAGATTGTGTTCCTTTGTACCTAGACACCTCCGGGTGAGCATTCCTCTTTAACCATACACTTCAGGGTGAGAGATTGGCTCTTCCTTTCCACTTACATTTAGTGAAATTGTGGCAACAACAGAAAAACAGTGATAAAAAGTCTCAAGAAAAAGAGAAGCATCTTGACTTATAGAGGTACACAAGGTTCCATTCACATGTGGGAAACTTTGAATCTTGAGAAAGTTCACTGTATATGTGATGGGAACGTCGTGTACTTCTATAAATAAAGTTTTTCCCTGTTTTATTTTCAAGTGTTTGTATCAAGATACAAGGCGTCTCTGTATTAAGTATAAAACACCATAAAATAAATATCTTATATCCACTAACATTGTCGTCAAAAGAAACTCTGGCACAAATAATAAAAACAAGATCTGGTTTTATTTTGAATGCGGATGTTTTTATTTTTCTGTATTTTCTACACGATAGTCTGCACGAGTTTGTGTATTTTATGAAATTCACTCTGTGTGTTTTTATTCTCTTTCGTTGCCTTGTACGCTTCCTTCTTCATTCATGTATTGAAATGTGAATTTATTTTATTAATATATCTTTCCAGCACTGTTTATTGAATTACCTAAACTGTGCATTTTGTGTGTAGTTACAGCTAGTAACTGTATTTTGAGGTTACAGATAAGTCTATTTTGAAATTACAGACAAGTGTATTTTGAAATGATTCAAGTGTATTGTCGTTGTTTAAGTGTTTTTGTGGCATAAAAATTATATAAATATATCGCACAGAATGATTACCCTACGCTTTCTCTCTCTCACCTGCAGTAACTCTCTCCCATTTTCTTCTCCCCACAATTTTCACACTTCATCTCCGTTCCCTTAATCCATACTTCCCTCACCACCACTTCCCACCTCGTTACCCACGTATTTCAACAGTTTCTCCTTCCTCAACCCCCCCCTCTCTCCTTTCTCTCCCTCGCTCTCTTCCTCAACTTCCCATCTCTTTCCCTCGCCCTCACCTTTCACTCAGCCTCTTCTCTTGCACTCTCGACCTCATTCCTTATTCTCTTGACCTTTTCTTCTCATTCGACTCCGCTACCCTCTACCTCGACCTCTCCAATCACTCTCACTTCTCCCCTCACTCTCCCCCGTCATTTCCTCTCTCACTGCGCTCCTCTCTCTATTACCTATAACACCTGCCCATTCCGTTCCCCTCTGAATGGAAATTCTGCAATAACCACTTTGGCAGAACATGACACCACAATCCCTCGAGCATTTCATTAGTTTGTCCTGTGTGTGTGTGTGTGTGTGTGTGTGTGTGTGTGTGTGTGTGTGTATGTGTGTGTATGTGTGTGTGCTCGCGCGTGCGTGTGTGCGGCGTGTGCGTAACATGTACTGTACTAACCCATAATACCCTCTCTACCAACCTGTAGCCTACCCTTCTAACACAACCTACTTCACTTACTTTCTCTTTCCACTTAACCAACAACACTAATTCGTCTTTCACTTAACCTGCACTAAGCCTACGTACAGTGCCACCCTTCGTCGTCTACGCTTATCCTGTCTTTCAGTTTGACTGAGCCTGTGCTTTTCTTTATTTCATTTCCTCTCTTACCTACTTCTATCATTATAGTAATGGTATACAATACTGACAGGCAGATGAGCAAGGCCAGTTTGGCATCAATAAAAATATGATAAACTCTTGCACATGTGTCTTATTTAGCTACTTCTCTTCCCTCTGCCTCCCCACCTCTCCGCCACAGCTTCCTCCTTTTACGTCCCCTCCCATTTCCCCTTCTTTTTTCTCCTTCCCCACTCTCCTGATGTATCCACTTTTAAAAAAAAAATCTTTTCCCCCTTGCCCTGTGCGTCGCCAGCCTCCAGTGAGCCCTCATTAACACTCACCTGCCCTCCTGCCCTCAGCCATCTCCAAGAACGAGGATGACGAGAGCTTGTCAGTGTCGGGCATGAAGATCAACGGGTTCTCCGACGAATACCTCGACCGGATAGAACCCAACGGCAACATCCCCGACAAGGACTGTGGTAAGTACCTTTCGTCGTCTTCTCTTGGTAGCATCTGGGAAGTAGTTCTTAATCACCCCGGTACTAGAACCCGTTTTGCCATTATTCAACCTGTCATCTTAATGGTGAATACGACTCATGGGCAACACTTAGGTATATCCATTCATCGTTATAATAAAGATACGCAGGTGTTGCACAGGTGTCTTATTCATCAACATGTGGGTATCGTATATCATTAATTTAATAATAAGTGTGCTCTTAACTATACAGGAAGTTTCCTCGTGGTTAAAACGACTTGTTCAACAAAAGGAGACGTATTATCAAACATAACACTGGCAGTATAAGTATGTGTCAAACTTTACCCTCCTGTGTTCTCTTCTTTACTGTGTGAACAGTTTGTAGATGAAAAGGACACATGACACAGTGTAATCCATCATTTTAACAAACGCTTGCGCTGCTTCCTGTATTCTTAACATCTATTTGTCAAGTAGGTGAAACACCGCATTAATACATGCTTCAAGTTATAATAACGAAAGTAACGTTGTATTAATAAAAGGTCTCCTATAAGCGTATTTTACAACTTGTAAGTTAAAAAAAAAAAGATTTCGCAGCTAGTTTTCTAAGTCAGGGGAACTCCTGTGCGTAACTAAAAGTATAGAATTATTTTCGATAGTATGAAGTAATCTGATATAGCTTAAAAAACAAAATTTTGTAGCTAACTTCATTGATACAGAAGCTTTACCAGGTATATTCGTAATACAACGAACGTCGAGTACAGAGTTCGTCGTATCGAAATTGTGTTCTTTTGGTTCTGTATTGTCTCAGTATTATGTTTAATTAAAGGAAATGGAAAGAAATATTAACTGAATTATAGACGTCTGACAAGAAGTGAACCATCTACATATTCTATAATATATTCTGTATAATGTGTCTTACATGTTGAATATATGTCAGGTGTACCACTGGAGTAATGATTGTTGTATATTTCTTCTAGGAAGCTTTGACCGTGAGTAGTCCCTGTCGTTTTATCTTTTTTTTTTTCAATCTAATAGTTTATAGTATAGCATCTTGATGTCACTGTCCCTTGGAATGTGTCGTTGCACCTTGCAGTGTGTGTCGTTGCACCTTGCAGTGTGTGTCGTTGCACCTTGCAGTGTGTGTCGTTGCACCTTGCAGTGTGTGTCGTTGCACCTTACAGTGTGTGTCGTTGCACTTTGCAGTGTGTGTCGTTGCACCTTGCAGTGTGTGTCGTTGCACCTTGCAGTGTGTGTCGTTGCACCTTGCAGTGTGTGTCGTTGCACCTTGCAGTGTGTGTCGTTGCACCTTGCAGTGTGTGTCGTTGCACCTTACAGTGTGTGTCGTTGCACCTTGCAGTGTGTGTCGTTGCACCTTGCAGTGTGTGTCGTTGCACCTTGCAGTGTGTGTCGTTGCACCTTGCAGTGTGTGTCGTTGCACCTTACAGTGTGTGTCGTTGCACCTTGCAGTGTGTGTCGTTGCACCTTGCAGTGTGTGTCGTTGCACCTTACAGTGTGTGTCGTTGCACCTTGCAGTGTGTGTCGTTGCACCTTGCAGTGTGTGTCGTTGCACCTTGCAGTGTGTGTCGTTGCACCTTGCAGTGTGTGTCGTTGCACCTTGCAGTGTGTGTCGTTGCACCTTGCAGTGTGTGTCGTTGCACCTTGCAGTGTGTGTCGTTGCACCTTGCAGTGTGTGTCGTTGCACCTCGCACTACCTCGTTGCACCTTGCAGTGATGTGCATCTTGCATCTTGTGATCCCGATGTTTTTTTCATTTAAGATTGTTTGTGAATGCCTGATATTGAATAACATTCACCATCTTGCACTTCTATAACACTTGTTGTAGTGTTGTAACACTTGATGTAGCGTTGTAACACTTGATGTAGCGTTGTAACACTTGATGTAGTGTTGTAACACTTGATGTAGCGTTGTAACACTTGATGTAGCGTTGTAACACTTGATGTAGTGTTGTAACACTTGATGTAGTGTTGTAACACTTGATGTAGCGTTGTAACACTTGATGTAGTGTTGTAACACTTTATGTAGTGTTGTAACACTTGATGTAGCGTTGTAACACTTGATGTAGCGTTGTAACACTTGATGTAGTGTTGTAACACTTGATGTAGTGTTGTAACACTTGATGTAGCGTTGTAACACTTGATGTAGTGTTGTAACACTTGGTGTAGTGTTGTAACACTTGATGTAGCGTTGTAACACTTGATGTAGCGTTGTAACACTTGATGTAGCGTTTTAACACTTGATGTAGTGTTGTAACACTTGATGTAGCGTTGTAACACTTGATGTAGCGTTGTAACACTTGATGTAGCGTTGTAACACTTGATGTAGTGTTGTAACACTTGATGTAGCGTTGTAACACTTGATGTAGCGTTGTAACACTTGATGTAGTGTTGTAACACTTGATGTAGTGTTGTAACACTTGATGTAGCGTTGTAACACTTGATGTAGCGTTGTAACACTTGATGTAGCGTTGTAACACTTGATGTAGCGTTGTAACACTTGATGTAGCGTTGTAACACTTGATATAGCGTTGTAACACTTGATGTAGCGTTGTAACACTTGATGTAGCGTTGTAACACTTGATGTAGCGTTGTAACACTTGATGTAGCGTTTTAACACTTAATGTAGTTTTGTTATAATCAAAGTATCTTTGTTACACGTGACTTAGTTTATTTTCTTCCGTCGTTTGTGGACTTTGGCACAAAAGGTAATTGGCGAGAGTAATGAAGACGAAGAGGCAGGACAAACTTTTGTTGTGGCAACGTTTCGCTCTACAAAGAGCGAAACCTTTCCACAATGTAAGTTTATTCTGTACTTGTCCTTGTTTTTTCATGTGTATGAACTAGTAGAATTGTTTATTTTTATTTACGTTTTGTGTAGGATAAAATAAGACATATGTGTATGTAACCTAAATTTGATATCTGCCTGAGTGTTTCCCGACCTAAACTATTCTTAAGGTATCGTAGATGGCACTAAGCTATCTGTTAGGTAACTCTGGGGTATCAAACCACCCCTAAGGTATCCCCGAGGGTTCTAAAGATCTAAAGTATATTCATAAGATATCTCCGAGCGTCCTAAACCAGCGACAGTTTATTCCTTCTCTGTCCATAAGGATAAGAAAAGATCGTAATATTCTTGGGGAAGACTTGAACAGTTACGGAAGTGTTCCACCTTAACATTATATGCACCGAACTGGATTAAAGTCTCATTGTATGTTGAGGGTTTAATCCCTATTTTAGGTATTTAAAGTATTCTTGACTGGTGGTGAACAGGTTACATGATCATCATTAGTCGATGGACTTTAAACCAAACTAACCAACGAACATTAAATGAACCCCAACGAATGAAATGCTATGAAAACGCGTTCATCGGTAGGATGCCAGAGGATGAGTACCAGCAGGGAAGTGACTCATGAAAGTGAGAAAGATAGAGGAGGACCCAAGAGTAAACATCACCCTTAATCTCTCAGATATAATTATTGCTTTCAGAGAGTAGACAAGGAGAGATTCACATCAATATGGTATACGTGGGTCTAGTTCTGGTGCACTCAGCTGCAGGGTTGTATCTAGAACTGCGAGAACTGGGTTCAGAGAAGAGGTTCAGAGAGCTTTTTTCTGAAATCGGTAAAAGAGCGAAGTGTCTGAGGAGACATGATACAGCTAATATAAACAAACTAATTGACACGTGAGGAAACAGAACGAGGGGACACACATGGAACTAAAAAGCTCATAGTTAAAAATAATAGACATTAAGAATTCCTTCAGTATAAAGATAGTGGAAAAGTGAAATGCATTTGGTAATGATGTAGTGGAGTCCAACTCAGTACAGGGATTTGTTATTAAATATGACAAAGTGTCAGAGGAAAATAATTCAGTTTATTACGAATTACAAAACTTTAGTCCAGTAACTAGACATGAACACATGTAGAAACAGCCAAGCGAGTACACTAAGTAGCAAGTTAGTCATTATTAAATTCAGTATGTTAATCTACGTTTGATATACCTTTGATGAGTTTCGAGAGTCTTACTACTCTCGGAGCCCGGCCATGGGCCAAGCTCGTCTCTATATTTCTGACCCTCTGTCCCATCTGTAGAATTTTCCCTTTTTTCCTCTTTCTTTAGTCTGATTGCTGTTCATTTTCCATTTCTCTGTAGCACCGCGTTCCTTTTACATGGTGGTGGTCTGGGCAACTCAGGTCATAACTTCCTCTGAACTGTGTTCAGTCTTAACTTTATTGTTCAATACTTTAAGCTAAATCATTTAATAATAAAACGCCACAAATCGTTCAGGAAAACGTCAACAAACGCAGTAAATAAAAAAGTTCTCTCTTGTTCTTCTATATATTGCAGTACTTCACTATTATTTAAATGAAACGGGAATATTACATATCGACTTTTTACTCGAAAAGAATAAAAGTGGAGCAGAGGCTTTAATTAAGCGGCCGGTGCTCATGAATACTGACGTAGCCACTTGTTAATCTCATCGCGGCCCCGGCGCCAAGTGTCCGTCACTCTCTAATCTAATAAAAAATTCACGTGTTCGGTGGATTTCCTTTTTTTTTTAGGTTTGTTGCGATGCATTTTCTTGTCACAGATTTTATCAGTCTCGTGTGTGTGTGTGTGTTTGCGGAGTTGTATTGTAGTTCTTGAACCCGATAACTTCACTGCAACGAGAGGAGTTTGCTGAAACAAATGGAGGGACAGATTGCATTTTATTTTGGTCTTTAAATTCGATAAATTCCTCGTGAAAAAGCTAAGCTGGAAATAACGAAATATAAGAGCAGTAAAAGGCAGACTATTACAGTGAATTGGAGATTTTGTGTTTGAAAGTAAATTGTTGTAACAGCGATATGAGGAAACTTATCCTCGTTGGGGAAATGTCACCACTGGAGTCCCGTAAGGATCAGCACTTGCCCCGAAGATGTTTCTTATTTTGATGAATAATTTGCCACAAGAAATAAAACGTATATGAACTTTATACAGCTGTAAAT